AGCACGCGTGCCAACAACACAAAGCAAGCGAAACCGGAAAACAAAAAGCATACAGCGCACAGATGAGCGTGACAAAGGTGGAACGTGAAAAGAATCGTGGGCGCGGGGCGGGGGGAGGTGCGGGGAGGGAGGCGAAGCCAATCTAACGAAACGGGCAATTTTCCTATTCGTGGGGTCATGGATCCTCGAATCGATGCGTGCGGCGGCGGCGGCGGCGAAAAGTATAACCGAGGGGAGCCGCAGCGTCGTAAACTTGGGAGCGCGCGCACGGGACAACTTTTGAATTTCATCGGGTACGTATGCGCGCCTACCATAAATTAAGGCTTGCCGTGCCCGCGGGCCAGGCGCAGTCACGCCGACTCGGGCTCGTTCCCATTGCGCTCGCGTTTGTAAGACTGGTGGATCGCCTCGGGACGAGAGGCAATTTTGTCGCGGCTAATTCCTTCGGTCGAGCTCGTCTGTTGTCGAACGTTCGCTGCGAATCGTCTCCAATGTAGTTTTTGTACGCAACTCTGGGCTCAGCTCGCCACGAGCTTCAGCGATAAGCTTCACGTTGGAATCGACAAGAGCGAAATTCGATTGGCGAACGCGATAAAAATTAATCGTCAACGGCGATTATTCAAATGTGAATTCGCAACTGAAGATAAAGTCTTTGAGCGCTTTGATCCCGATGCTGCTTATAATGAGTCTACTGCGGCCTCGCTGCTAAATGACGAGTCCTGTGGGAAAGCCGGCTTTTTTCACGATAGAGCCAGTTGTCCCCAGAGGTGACGCGAGCTTGGATATACTGACATAGATCAAAGGCAGCATCTGCCCTTTGACCTTGTCGCGCGGCCTGCACGACGGAGTTAAATTTTCAATGTTAATTCTAACGCTCTCGGCATTTCGCTGCTCAAAGCCACGGAAGGAAATTGGTAATTAATCGTGTAGGATAAGCGGATTGCTCCGCGATGAAAAAAAACACTCGGATGAAGTAAAAGCGCGCGGGCACGCGACACCTTCGCGAGCCGCAAATGCTTGCAGGACGAAAATCGGAATAGCCGCTTATTGAAAGGGAGTTAGTCACTAGAGAGCGAGTCAACGCGCAGATCCTTTCGGCGCACTTCCTTGTAACCTTGTCTTCGCATAACCTGTTTCATATGAATTGAATAACTCATCGATAAACCCTCAAAACGGCTTAAATGACAGAGGCCAAGGATAAATTAGGCCAGCGGTAGTGTAGCGATAGAAAAGCACGAAAGGCACGCGAGAGTCGTCTCGGTTACAAGGGAGAGGAGGGGGTGCAGTACAGCTCGCCGAGCAAATAAAAACAGAAGTGGCACGGCCGCAGATACGTAGATCGCGGCTACGTGATCGCTTCATTGGCCGTCACACAGCCCCCGGTGCGCCGCGCCGCGCCGCGCGTAACCTGACTCGACGGCGCGTGACCGTGGGCTACACACCTACACGCGCACGCGGCACGAGGGAGCCGCGCGGCCAATTCAATTTTCCCGCTGATCACCGGGCCAGACGCGACCACTCCGAGCTGCGCCTGCTCTTTTTCACTTCTGTGCGCGAACTCATTCTGCGAGTCTTTTCCGAGTCGAGCGCGACTTGATCCAAATAACAAGTTTCATCGCAACTTTGCGATTCACAAATCTATCGCGACAGTCCTCGCGCGTTCGACTTTTACGTGCCCGTCGACGGAACGTCTTCCAATTTTACCAGAGCCAAACGCCACTTTCTGCTCATTAATCGACGTGGAACTCATTTTCAATCTGATCAGACAGACAATTCTCGCTCTTTCGACGTACAAGACTTTATTGAATAGTCAGTAGCCATATCTTCAGAAAAACACTACTCGTTGAAATTTATTCGCATTCAGCTGTAACTCTTGCACTTTGTCTTTGAGAAGTCAATTTACCATTTTGAATGCGTTTCAATCTCAATATGAAAAGGTGAACTCGCTGCCGCAAATGATTTCTTACGAAGAGAACACGTCGGCCGAAATGAAAACGATCAGCCGGAAAAAAGCATTTGACGAGAGAAAAAAAATGAAGCCAAAAAGTGAGAAAAAAAAAATCACGTAGTCATGTGAACGCCATCGCCGAAGGGTTATTGAGTCAAACAACGGCCTTGCTACCGGTGCATCGCGCTGCACGCGCAGAAGTGTAAGCGAAGGTGCCGGACTCGCTGACCAGCGCCTACGTCCTCTATCTCTTTCTCTCTGTCCAACTTTTTTTTCTCTTTCTTTTTTTCTCTTATCCTCGAAGCTGTGCCCACCCCCCTCGTCCCTCGCGCCGCCGTTTCCTCCTCCTCCTCCTCCTCCTCATCCTTCCTCTCTCGCTCTCTCCCTCTGCTTCTTCACCAAGAAGGATCCCTACCTCGTGCCGACGGGGGCCGAGGGGGGCACGGGTGGGAAGCGAGGGAGGCTAAAGGGGGATTCACGTGGTTCTCAATCGCTCATATTTGTGCATTTTCTTTCGCAACATTTTTTTTTTAATTTTTTCATGATTTTTGCGCCACTCGACGAACGATTTTTTTATCTATAAGTAGTCTTGAAGCGATTTTTTTATTCGATTTATTTCGTGATTTTAGTGATATAAAGATAAAATAAAATATCGATTTTATATTTAAATTATTCTATTTTTTACCAATATTTCTTTCAATGTATTAAATAATTTTGTTTAAAAATGGACAATAAAGATTTTGTAATCACAATGCGTTTAATTTTGGATGATATTGAAAACACTATGTGTTTATGAAATAGTTTCAAATATTTAGGTTAAAAAATTCAAAGACAAATCCAATAAATAATATCGAAAACATTTTTTATTTTAAAACCGAATGGATTACATACAAACGTAAAGACAACGTTATTAATATTTCTTAAAAGACGGCTGTTCTAGTAAGATTTCAAAAATATAAAATTTGTTTCATTGTTTTTTAATCAATAGATATTACTTTTGCTTTTTTATGCAAAAATTCTTTACCATAGTATTTCAATATTTAACTTGAATGTTAAAGAATTTGACTTTAGGTACAACCTGAAAACCTGACGAACCTAGGTTTCAAAGAAAATTAGTATATAATTTTGAAATGCACGTGAATGCTTTATTACGAACTTATTAAAAAAATAACTTATGTAACAATACCAAAGGATAAAATTAATCAATGTTTAGACATTCTTTATTAATATAGGCAAAGTGCAAAATAATTTCTAGCTATGTTTAGTAGACTCTTAACTTTCTAGTAAAAATTGAAGTAAAAAATAAAATATTAGAGCAAATGTTTTAAATAATAAAAAGAAATAGTTTGAGGTTATATTTATCAGCTGAGTTTTAATACTCATCATGGACTTGTTCCTCAAGTTCACTTGTGACATTTAAAAGAATCGTTACAACTTTCTTTACAGGATTTCGATCAAACCTTTATCAAATAAAGAACGCAAAATGAACAATGAAAGAAAGAAAAATTAATTGATTCGCGGTATACACTAGCGAAGATTTGAAGGTGCACACACGGAGTCTGCGATTGGTGTCAAAATGGCCTGTCAGCAGATCGCGGTTGCAGTGCGGCGGATGAAAAATTAATATAGCGAAAACATGAGAACCATTGCACTCTTGTTCCCCTCGCGCGCGCGCGCGCGCGCGTTCTTCTCTCCCCCTAGTCCCCCTTCCTCCCGTAACACAGGGTGGCTAGGAGGGTTTAGGGAGAAACGAGGAAAGAGAGAGAAAGAGACAAGGAGAGGGGGGAGGTGGGTCGCGTACAATCCCAAGCAAAATCACGCTATATCCCTTGAGTATCGTTCGAGCTAAAACTTTTTCAGCAACCTTACGTATTTTTCGCTTTCTTCGCGTTTCTCGCCTTTTTCCAAGCTGCTTTTACGAATTTATTATTGCAATATTTGAATAACACTTTCAAATCAAATTTACAATAATTTAAAAGCATAAACAGTTTCATAAACATTGTTTCCTAAACTTAAAAGAGAAATAAAAGTGAAAATTTTAGACATTGAAATAAAACTTTTATTGACGCACCTAGAAACTTAATAAATTTTGAAATATCGATTGGTAAATATCAACTTATCAACGAATAAAATTTTAAATGAATAAAAATGGCGATACATAATTTATTTCATATAAATACATCGTGCTCAGAATAGAAAATAAGCTTTACGTTAGGTATAACTGAAAACTAAAAATATCTATTGCTAGCAACTTTGTTGAGAAAATTTTTAATTTATCAAGTTCCGGCACTGATAGATTGAGGTAATTAAATTGACGTTGATAAGAGAAAAATGGAAGCAAAAGGGCAAGGAATCAAGAGGGAAAAATGCACCTCATCACCTAAGAAAGCGCCGATAAGAGTGGCAACGGTAGAAAGAGAGAGGGGTAGCTAGGTAGCCGCGGATGCAAGTGAGCTAACGATTTTTCCACGCGGCGCGCGAGCAACCAGCGAAGCGAAGGGGTCAATCCGCGAGCTCTCGGCAGGAAAAAAGAGAGAACGCGCGGAAAAGCGCAACGACTATCCCATGAAAAAACTTCAAAGAACTCATTTTATTCTCCCTTGCCCTTCAGCTTTGCGTAACCCTGACAAAGCCTAATTAATCTCGCGCTCTTCGCAATGCCAGACAAACTATACTTATTAAATAGCATCTTTCAAAATTTCCTGGAAAAATATAAAATTAGATTACATACAAAGCGTTATAAAACAATAACTCAGTTGTAGGATTACTCAACCTAAACATATTTCTACATTATTGTCGAATCCTAAACTTGATCTAGATTTGATACAGTTCTTCATCAAATTATATCTTTATTTAATTAAGGAACAACCAAGCCTGCAGTCACTACTTATGATGTTAAAATATATTTATATGTAAAATTTCAATCGTAATTATAAGATATCAGTATAAATAACAGTGTATCATATCAATAATAATTAATATTATTATTATTATTTGCGGGATACTATTACATTTACCGCAAATTATAATATTAGTTAAATCATACACTTACCCTTGATCGATGCGATCCATAGGACCTCCAGGGCCCATCATCGCGGGATGTCCAGGTCCCATGGGTCCACCCATGGGATGACCTCCGGGTCCGAAGGGGCTGCCTGGTGGCATACCATATTGCGGACCGCTAAAGTGTTGGCCAGGTGGGGGGAAGTGCGGATTACCACCACCAGGTGGCACAAAGGGCGGTCCCGAAGAGCCGGGCCTGCCGACAAACTGACCAGGTCCACCCGAGGGAGAGCCAAATGGACTTGGACCTATGGATGACATTTTTGAGTTTTTAGATTTAATATTCAACTCCCTTATATTACATTTTTCTTCCAAGTAAAGTTGAACTAAATATTAAGTTGTACTAATTGTACCAGATGCACTTTTTTTTGTTATAGTTCAAAGTCACATTTAGCTGTAAAATTCATATCTAATGAATTAATTTCTCATAATCAAAACTAAATATTATTTTGAAAGATCAATCGTCATAATTTCAAATTTTCAATAGAGTTTAATCATCTTTCCATAATCAAATAGCGATTGCTAATAGCTTTCTGTAATTGAAACTGATTTAATTTGACAGATCAGATAAAAATTTAATTTGTACATTATTTTAATTCTTTCAAATTATGAACAACAAAACAATTTTAATTTTAGTAATAAATAATAACTTGTGTTTCCCCTCATAATCTATATAAAACAAGAAATATCAGTGTACTTAACATCGATAATAGTCTTGTTTTATTATAACTGGCTTAACTTATTTAGATTAATAACATAAGTATCAAACAATGCCAAAATCGTAAATTAATACGCAATTCAAATTATATAATAAATATTGTTGTCTCTAAGACTGTATGCAGTCCATCATCTTCATTGATATTATATTAGCCAAGCACATGCTAGAAACCAATGTAAAATTTCTTCAATATCCAGCACGCTAAACAAATATTTCTAGCACCAAATCAGATTTCAGCGATGAATGCTCTTGAAATACCTTCTTTGAAACAGTATTTAATGCTTCTAACAAAATTAGTTATTGAACATAGTTTTGTAGTTTTATTAATAAATGTATAATTCTATTATTAGATTAAATAAATACATAAAAAAATAATTATATTCACCATTATAAGGCGGACCAGCATTATTTGGTGGAGGAGGAAAACCACCAGCACTAGGTGGAGGTCCTGGTCCAGGTGTAGATGACCCGCTAGGTGCTGGAGATGCAGTATATTGTGGTGTTGCAGATCCAGGTGGTGGACCTTGATATGGTGGAGCTCCTGCAGGACTGCCTGCGCCACCCGGAAAAGGACTAAGCCCTTGGAAACCACCAGCATTGCTCGGTGGACCTCCCGTACTATTGTAAGGACCTGAATTGGGACCACCACCTTGGTTAACCGAATTTGGAGTAAATGGAGAGGCCTCCGAACCTGGTGGTGGTCCCTTCCACGAAGCTGGTGTCCCTGGGTCCTCCAGCGTGGTGGTGGCTGCCAGTGGGGTATTCATTCGGTTGCAGCCTACAGTGTAAACAACAATGTAGGTTAGGTTGAGCTTTAATCTATTTCAACTAACGATAAAATAATTGAATTATAAGTTTAAAAAATCCAGTAAACTACTAAAAATCATTATAGCAAAATTAACTTATAACATTGTAATTACAAGCATTGACAAATAATGAGTGAAAAGGAGTTATATTCATGAAATAAAAGAGATGCTTATCTATGCTGCAGTATGTTTAAGTAAAACTAATTTTATTATATTAAATGTTAACCGAGATTCGCACTATAAATATAAAATTAAATATCAGTATTTTAATACTTTGTTGCTAGTACTCATACAGTTACTAATTTGTCGATATTCTGTTATAGAGAGTGATATTTTAAATATTTCTAAAATAAAAATTGGTTCAATGCAGTATTTTTACGACTCTTTTGTTTATACGCCAATTTTTAATTCCAAATCGAATGAAAAATGTATTAAAGTCGAGTAAAACTTATTCAATTTTTCCACTCAAATAACATTATTCAAGTTGTTAGTCACGAAATAAATGTCACTAAAAAGGTAAATAATCACCATTGTTTGTTCCATTTGCCTTCATAATCTGTTCATTGACGAGTTCATCCTCGTCACGATCTGCCGTAGAAAAACAAAAATTTGCACAATTATGCCCGCACTGTGCACTTGGCCTCCAGACAATCGGGAAGGGGAAACTTCTCTGGGCGTCGGTAAACAATAAACCGCAACAATTTTAAAAAAACTCCACCCGCAATTGTTGTAGGTTATGGTTGACCACCGGCGACCTAACCTCCAGAACGCGGACGCGAGAGAAAGAGACAGCGACGCGCGCGCGCGCAAATAAAAAACCGAGCGGCAGCGGCGGCAGGCAAGGTGGGCACTCGCGCGCTACTACGATGTCCTCGCGCGAGAGACACCACACGCCGAGGAACTATGCGAATTCACTGCTATATTTCCACCTTTTCGAGATGCACACTTGTACATGTACGGGGCACCGCATCAACCCACTGTTGTCACCACCAAATGAAACTTTTGCTGTTGTTGTTGTCAACGGTAGCAGTCTCAGGAGTCGGCAGTCGTGGAGACGATGCAGTTGACCGTCGTCATCGTCGGCGACGGCAAGCGACAGCGACAATAACTGCCAACAATTGTCTTCACTGGCGTTGCCGGCATTCTTCTTTTTCTATTTGCTGCTTCACCCGGAATACTTACATGCCCTTCGTCGGAAAATACTCGAGCGACATCCTTGGAAGTCGAGTATGCACACTGTCCTGGAACGGCTGTGCCTGTCTCCGGAGATACAAACAATTGTTCACGAGAGAAAGAGTGCGAGAGCGGTGGTGGCGGCAGTAGTGGCGGCGCTATCTTCGTTCCCCCTTTTTTTCTTTTTTATTGGCCGTTGCTGCTTCTAAGGGCCAACGCGTGGTGTCTTGTTGCTGCTGCGATGGCGCGTATTTACAACATTGAATGAAAAAAATACAGCTGCACGTAGTAGTAGTACAATACGCTCCGGCAGTGTGCTCGCGCTCGTTCTCTCACTCGGCCGCGAGACAGTTGAAAAGTTGGCGAACGCACACGGGCAGTGCATGCGATGCAACTCTCTCGCGCACGCGAACGAGAGACAGAGCGAAAGTTTCTCGCGCGCGGGGCGGGAGGAGGAGGAGAGAGATACAAGTTTTGCGAAGAGGGCGCGCGCTGTCGGGGAAAGAACGAGAGAGGACGAGAGGTGAGAGAGAGAGTGAGCGAGTGAGAGGGGGGGTACAGTCGACAACCGACGCGTTGACTTCGGTAGTGTTTATTCGCGCCCGCGCTCTCCTCTCTCTCTCTCTCTCTCTCTCTATTCTCAAGCTTGATAACCCTTGCAATGCGCGCGCAAACTTCCAGTACTGGAGCTTGCATTAGCTACTGTAGGTGCTAGCAGTTGCTACACCATTGTTGACCATGAGACATCAAATAAGACCATTCAACATTTCATCGATGTTTCATTAAATATTATGGAATCATTTACGAACATTGTATTACAGTTTTAAGTTGATATTTTCCAAAATACAAGATAATTGTGTCATTGATGAATAAAATACGCGTCGAAGTGAAAAGCGTGAGAACTTTGAATGACTTTGATAGTTTCAAACGTGAGCGTAAACATAAAAGCTGTCTGTTTCGTTCATATTGCAAATATGAATAATACCTATGTTCTTATAGTTTTTGAATCATTCAACAGAATTGTCAATCACGACGATTGTCAGATTCACGGGTATGAGCCACCCAGTAATAAGGATCAGGGTGAAGATTTGCGAGGAAAAAAATGTATGCGTTCGAAGCAAGAATTGAGAGTTGCGCGTCATCCACGAAGACTGTACGCGTCTCCATGATTTCATCTCAGCCGTCGGCAAGAGGGTGGGAGTAGTGTGCACGTGGGCCAGTGCTGTAGTCGACGAGCTGCGATCCCCCATGCTATTTCGCAATAGATCCACGTGCGAGAATGTCAGTGCGCGCGCAGCATCACCACCACCGCAGCTGCCGCTATTGTATTCCACTTCCTCCTATATTTCGCACTTGTATTCGTTTTATCTAGCTATCTGTTTTCTTTTTCTGTTCTCTCCCGGCGTAAACTTAAGACTGAATTACCATTCGACAGAGAAAAAAAAAGCAAGACTCTTCGAAGTTTTATTCTTAGGGTCTAGCCTTGAAACTATCTTTCCGAATTCCTTTTTTCTTGGTTGACTTGCGAGTTGCAGGTACTTGAATTTTTTTTTTCGGGGTGCATGCTTCTGGTAAGTTCCAAAAATTGCAGAATGATTTGTGTCAGTGGTACAATGGTTTATGTATTTTCGATAAGGAACAGTTTCAGTTACTCTTCCTATCAGAAAAGCACACTTTCCATGGGTTGTGTTGAAAAAAAAAAAAAAAAGAAAATTGGACATAAATTGAAACAAAACAGCAAACAGCAGGAAAAAATAGAAGCGCAGAGATATCAGTGTATCCCAGCCTTAAACGCGTTGGACGGCTAAAGTTGGTTAGCTTGCGCGCGCGCCCCTATCTTCCATTCAGCGTCTTCCTTTTCTGCGATCATCCTCTCCTCTCCCTCTGCCATCCCCTTCTGTACTTTTCTCGTCCTTTTTCCGCCCGACCTCACTCTCTCTCTCTCTCTCTCTCGCTCAGCCAGCCTCGACTTCTATCTTTTCCTCTTTCTTTTTTTTCTCATCACCGGTGACGCGATGCACCATCGCGCACGCACACACGCGCACAGTCACCCTTGCGGCTTTACCTCCCACTCCCTACCTCCTTTTCTCGACTCTTCCGCTCTCAGTTCCTTCTACAGGGAGACAGACTTTTGACTTTTTTTTCTCTATTCTTCCATTTTTATTTCTTTTTCTGACTGCCTGTTGTTAGCTGAAACGCACTTTCGCAACAAAATGCACTTTGCTTTGAAACTTTTTCCGTCGCCGATGCAATTCTTGCTCCATGGAAATTGTTGCGCTCTTTCTTTTGTGCTCTTGTCCGCGTTGCGCATTTTTCAAAGCTCGCGCGGCCATTTGCATTTTTATTATCATTCCTAAAATCGATATTAATAAACATTGAAAAGAATAGATAAACCATCCTCGCGTTAATAACAGTTTGAGCATTATTTTTATTGAAAAGCCTTGGAAATTTTTACAAAGTAACGGACTCCTGTCATTATTTTTTCTAATCGTAAATGTTGCCAAGCCGTATAAAGGGAAAAAAAAAGAGGAAGGGTAAATTGCCGTTACACTAACTGACTACGACGGATAAGAGCGTCGTTATGCTCGGGCGAGCACAGAAATAATCGCATCATTGCAGCAAAGGTAAAAAAACGAAGGAAAAATAAGAGGAAGAGAAGAAGCTTGCACAAAGGGGAAAAAAAAACAAGAAGCGCGAGAGAGAAAGAGAGAGGTAGTCCTGCGGCAGAGCAGAAGAAATGAGCGCTTGCGCCACACTGTATATATCAGGAGGAGGGAGGTCTCCTCTGACCGGGGTTGCTTTGCTGCTCCTCGCTCGCTCCGAGACGATGCAACCGCGGTAACCGCGTGGGTGAACCGCTGCACCTACCTACCTCGCCCTTATCTTGTCTCCGGCTGATAGGTTTAATTCTACAAGATTCCCATCTTGTATTTTATTTTGGACGGGGATGCTACAGTCTGAAATTTGCAATGTGTATACTTGCCCACGGTTGGTCGATCGGTATAGATAAAAAACTGCACGCTTTACGCGAGCTGCCGACTTGGCGAGCTATCGATCAAAATTATTTCGAAACTTTCCCGAGAACGAGTTTCTCGGGCCTCTGTATACATAACGCGAACTTAAAATTGAACAAGAAAATGTACTTTGACCCGCGAAAGCAAGATTTATTTAGTAAAATAAAAAAAAATATATATATATACATAGGAAAAGCGAGGCTTCGGAAGTTTTCCATGCCAACTTAATTGCTGATCCAACAGCTTCGGTCCGCTCGAAAGCTGCGACCGAGTCGCGATCGATCTTTCGCATGGATTTCGCTCGCGATCGCGCGACATGTGGTGCAGAGAGCAGTATCGCGCATCGGACAGAACGAGAGAGAGAGAGAGAGAGAGAATTTAATTTTTTTTTTCCTTCCGGCGGGCGGCGCTTCGTTCCGGGCCATCAAAGCCCCGCGCGTTGCGCACGCAGCTCGCCTCTCGCGCTTCACGGGTTGACAGTGTCAGCCTAAAAATCAATAAGACCTCGCCTCCGGACCCCTGCGGCGCGCACTTCTCTCTCTCTCTTGTCACGCGGGTACCTCCGCGCCGAGCAGCCCCGCTCGCCGGACCAAGATCCACTGCTGCGACCCGAGGCGCTTTCTTCGCGCGTCTTGCTTCTTGCACAGTCCTGAACTCGCCCCGGCCATACTGATCGGACAGTGCACTTGCAGTCCGGCTCGATTGCGCGATACTGATTGGGCGTTTGCTCGAGTACCGTGCGTTTCTTCTATTTTATAAGGACGTGAGGCATTAGCTAATTTTTCAAAATACATTCGGGATGATTTTAATGAAATGAATGTGTGCGTGGCGTAGTCTTCAAATGATTACATAATTTGATCATTTCATTAAAATTGTATTTCTCTCCTATCGCAAATCCGATAATCTGATAATGCGATATTAAATTCGATATAATTGCCATAAAAATACAGGCACGTGTAGTTAGCGAGCCTCAAGCAATAACCATTTATTCCATGATTTACACTAACTGCAATTTCTCGCGGAGATGCACAGCAAAAGCTAAATTATTGACGCATCCGGTGAGGTAATAAATTTGTAAGTGAATGCCGGGAGAAATAGAAGGGTCTGTCAGAAGTGTCAAAGAAACGGACCGTAGGTAAATAGAAAATCAAAAATTAGTCAGGACGTTTGAGCCTCGCCAAAAAATTGGGGAATCCCCAAATTGCCCCTAATTCAAGTGACACGGTAGGCAGCGATTGTGCGGAGCGGCGCACGAGCGACCCCGCCGGCTTAGTTTTATTGGCATCAGGTAGAATCTTGACAGAAAGGATCTGTACCCTCAGCGTAGACTTAGCTACGGCGGCAACGTCTGTCGGTATACGCAAGGTACCAGCAAGAAGCCGTTATCATCTACGGCTTATTCATTGTCCTCGGCACGCTTTATGCGCCCTTGACACCAGCCGAAGATTATAAGACTTAATGGTGGGGAAACCCCAGAAATTTTCCATAGAAGTCACTACCACAATAATCTCTTTCTCTGGCTCACAGCCTGTCAATCTTTCTCCATTTAAAGAAATGCTCTCCGCACCTTTGCCTCTCATCCCCCTTTTCCCCTTTACAGCTCCAAACCCGCGCAGCCCGACGTCTGCTTCATCTATACACGTATGCACATTTATCGAGGAAAATCGGAAAATACCGAATAAGTGGAGGTTTGCTAAGTTTGTAGTCTCGCGAGCGCTCGACCTTATTTTAAAGCTGCATCCTTTAAACGCCTCTCTGACACTTGTTTGAGCGCCCGAGAAAATGCTATAACTGTTTTATCAAACGCTCTCTCTGGCTAACATATGTGCTACATCTTTCATCTCTTTTGCCTCTTGCGCGCCTCTTTTCTTTACTTTTGCTTCTTTGGAGAGGAAACTTCACTGTTGCCTCAAATTTTTTCATTTGATAATTTTTTTCCAGATCCAAACCGTTTTCCGTGTATATTTTTCATTGGCAATCACGAGGAGACGACAAAGTCGCGTTTTTACGACGGCCGTGCACGGGCGTGTGTGTGTGTGTTGGGTGTCAATCGGTGTAATTATTCTCCTCGATGGATTGTCATGAATCTTTTCTCATATGTTTAGAAATATTGGAAGGCAGGTGGGAATGGCGCAAAGATTTTTTTGATGAAATGAGAGGTTTACGACGCGAGCCGGAGACGAGGGCTCTAACGAGTTTCGTCAGAAAGTCTTTTCGCGTCAGTTAGGGCAGTATTTTCCCGCATGAGAGCCGGAAACAACCGCCGAAAGTGCGATTTCAAGGTTACAATGCGGAAAAATAGTTTTCAAACAGATTTATTAACTAGAAATATGTTTATAGGTATTCCCCATCAAAATTTTCATAGTCATGTAGATATTTCATATGGAACTACGATATACCGAATGACATTATGCAATAAAATTTGCTAAGATTCTTAGTACAATTTACTAGTGTGAAAATCTCTTCTCTGATCATATTGCTTAAAACTACGATATTTTTCGAAATAATATTCAAAAAAAGCGCGAAAAGCTCCAATTTGAGCGTATGCTTTACGCCGAACATGCAAGACAATCACACGTAAATGCCACACGAGACATTTAGTCTAAACATTTAGAGACTAAATGTCTCCAACGAGACTAAATGTTTACGCCCGAACGAAGCTACAGGAATCTACTTTCCCGCACTTGTATCGCAATGTACTATTTTGTACTCAAGTTTCTAGCCGAGCGTGCGGAAAGTACGTACTTTCGGCACGGAGTAAAAATTACTACGTTCCATACTAAATGCTACATTTAATAGAAAGAACATTGTAGTGAACATAATTCTACTTCGAAAAATCAAATAAAAAATAATATTATCAATTGTAATCGTTGAAAAGTTTTGTTTCAACGTCCAATTTTATTCGAGTACAATGAAGAATTTACGAGGATCAGTATTAATTAATTTAATTATTATATTACTAACTATACTGCAATATATTTGTTGGCTATTTGGCAAATTAACTTATAATCAATAAATCCTCTGTTAATCACACAGCCATATGTATTTGCATGACTTGAAGTTGATGTTTACTTAAATTGTGACCGAAGGCCGATCTTACCACTCGTGAGAATCAAAACGCCATTTACAAATGCCGTTCATAAGTTATCTCAATACGTGGTATACTAACAGAGACTATTGTCCTCACCTGTAATTTTTACCATTTTCACAAGTAAAGTTTACTCAAGCTTTAATAATTCTTATTTCTTATATAACATCTAACAAAGCTAAATGTTAAATTTACGAGGCACACAATAATTTGTGCAAGTTGTATTAATGAATATTTGAAAAATGCAATAATTTTTATTGAAATTCCAGGTATCCGCATGTGACTATGTGTCTCGTAGTAATTTTTCTTGTACTTGTAGTAAACTTTCTAAGTATGCACCATTTCGACCTCGAATTCGTATTCACTGCGTCAAAATATACATAGACAGATGTGTCTTTTAAAAGCACAAATCATTTTTATTTCTCTGTGCGCTGGTGAAATCTACAAGAGTTTTCTCTCGTTATGACATTTAATGATATGGCGAGAGCGATATCAAAATTTTTTGCTATAAAACGATAAGTTCACTTGAAAAATCTACCTTGCATTTGAAATGTTATATAATGAAAATAAGATATCGTTTATAAACACTAATGATCGCTGTGGTAGGTATAATAAAGGCAATCATGATGTCATTATGACCGATTAAGCTGTAATTTGCCAAAGAGCATTTTGCCCCTTGTACAGTTGACATTGTAAACGATCCTGTGCAGGAAAACAAAGAGTTGAAAGATTTTCTAGACTTTGATGAAGCTTTGTAAGGCAGAAGTATATTAAAATCATAATGATAAGAATGAATAGAATCAAGCTTCAAGAGCGTAGAGCCGTGAAAAGCGGTGGCAGGAGAGGAAAAATAATAGCCATCCTAGTCCATTCAGCCACTCGAACGACAACACAAGCAGAGTCAAGTTAATGCTAATTATAGTAAGGAACGCCGGGACTCGGGAATCCCCAAAAAGGCGTTTCTCTCTGCTACGAAAGTTCTTGGACCAGCAAAAGGAAGAAGAGAGACGGCAGTAAAAGTCCCCGGTGACTTCTCTGCCTACCGTCTTTCCTTCCTTCCGTCCTTCCTTCCTTCCTTCCTTCCTTCTTTCTTCCTTGTTATCCAGTTACGTATCCGAAGGTTTTCGCGAAGACGCGTATTTTTAGAAGAAATCTCTCCTACTCTGTTAGATACCAGAGGCTGCCGGACAATGGGAAAGGTGCATAAAGGTGGACATAACCTGCCGTGAAATTCCCGCTGGCCGTGAACACGAGACTCCGAGGCGAGAGATTCGGGACGTTGCGCGTTCGACACATGCAGAAAACGTCTTTTAAATTATCTGCATCGCACCAGCTCTCTCTCTCTCTCTCTCTCTTTCTGCAGAGTATTCTTAGGTGTCGGAACTGCAGTATGCCATACACTTTCTCGCGTTTTCCATTTTTTTTCTTGCTTTTCGTAGTAATAAAACTTGTTAACTTCGATTGACATTATAGTTTGTTTGTATACTGCAAAATTGATAACTTCTCATTCTCGTCTTCAAAGTGACTACACAACGTCTAGACGATACTCAATAGATATTGTAACAAATACCGGTCAATTATCATTTTAACTCTGTCAAAGAAAATCTCACGAATGACGATATAAACAACACGAATTCTCGAATGGCAAAGGCAAATTCATTTCTAAATTGATTATTTTTCAGTACTAACAATTAAAAAACAACTTGAATTTCTACGAGTACCTTGCAAACTATAATAACACTCACAGCAGCTGCTACAGAAATTTTGAAAATTCAACGTGCGCTGTACGAGTAAATGCGTGAAACAGCCAATTGTCTGATCTTTAATATGAGCGTATTAATGAAAGTTGGCATTCAAATAAAATGATTTACGCCGTAAGGTGTAAAACGACATGCTCGCACTCTGATGTTGGCACGGAGATAACACGAGGAAAGAATGGTCTTGAAAAAGTGGACATTGTGCGCAAACTTTTGTTCCCGCGTCATAAAGTACGCCAGCATAGCAGACTACTAGGGACAGCTGAGGGACCAATTCCTAACACAGGCTTACCAATTTGCTGTTGACTAGATGCGCCGGGCCTGTCGACTCGCCAGTACGCATTCCTAAGCTGTGCTGTCACGAGTGATCGGTGAGCGTATAGCGAGTGAACAGTGAGCGATCGGTGAGACGTCAAGATGCAAACACAAGGCAACAGCGCTGACTATTACCTAACGAACGCCACTGCCGTTTCGATTGCCAATTCGTGTCCACGTGTCGGCAGCGTCAGCGTGGCCTCCGTCAGCAGCAACCCGTCGCCGGAGATCGCTTACGTCGAGCACCAGAACTGCACACCGCAAAGCTGCTTTCAGCTTGAGTATTTGATCGCGTCGACCGACACTCATCAGCATCGTCATCAGACGCAGAACAACCACGAGTACCAGCAACAGCTGCAGCAGCCCAAGGCGCAGAACTTCCAGATCAACCGTGTCGCCGAGGAACGAAGCTACGCGCATGAGAACGTCGCAGCTCACGACGGCTATATCAGTGACCAGTGGTATCTGCACCATCATCATCCCCAGCAACCGGCTACGCAGCAGTTGCAGCCGCAAACACCGAGCGCGTACATTCAAGAACTAGTACAGCAGCAGCAGCAGTACCAGCAACACCATTATCAACAAACGTACGTACAGCAGCAGCAGCAGCAGCTATTGTCGAGCACGCCATTCGCCGCGAACGCGCAAGTGGCTCAGGAACCGTATCGCTTCGGCTACGCCGCAGCGGCTGACCTGGAGGCCCAAGCGATGGCCGCCGCCAAGGAAAGCGCGCCAAGTAACAGCCAAACGAGTACCGCCAGGCGGAAGCGCAAACTGCGGCCGATAGAGGCAACCGAAGCCGGCCCGCAGGCTAGCAAGACACCCAAACTCGAAAGCTGTGCCTGTGACGAGGGCATCGGCGACGACGAGGACCCGAGGCTCGTTGCCAGCAGACGGGAGAGGATACGCACCCGGGAGCTCAATTGGGCTTACAGCTTGCTGCGCCGGTCGATCCCCAATCTGCCCAGCGAGAAGCTCAGCAAGTTTCAAACGGTCAGATTCGCCGCCCACTACATAGAGTTTCTGCACAACCTGTTGGAGTACATATCCATGGACGAAGCCGAGAGAATGAAACGTAAGGCTTATTTGTTTTCACGCGTCGTGTTGTGTTCCAAAGTCGTCTGGTCGAGTTTCGAAATCGCGTCGAGCATTCGGAAATTCAGACGACTTTGGTCAATGGAAGTGCAATGGATTAATTCGAGATTTTTCTTTCAGAAGTCGGACCCAAAGCTGCAGTTCTAGTCAAAGCGTACCAACTAATGAAGTCAGCAAAATCAATGCAACCTTCGTCGACCACCCTTGAGAAAATGTCCTACTCGTACAGTCTTTGGCGTGTGTACAATCCACTGCGACCATCGCCTAAACTAGCATGACTTGACGATTATATGTCTCTGCCAGTGCCAAATCTCTTGTGATCAATGTACATAGACTTTAGTTTGTAAGATTGCCTTAACTTGCTAACTGGAATACGATATTTTATGATATTACCAGTGCGTTTTCAAAGACTGTTTGTTATTTTATTTATTTATTTCATTTTATTATAGTTACTGATTGAATGAGTTTATCGTAAGATGCGATACTTTGTTTTTGCGTTACCAATTTTACGTTTTTAAAATTAAGACGTAAATATAAATATTTTTGACAATCAACGTTACGCCAAACACATATTTAATAAATCATCCGAATTCAGAATATTTTCTTACTGCTATTTCATTTTCTCCTTATTTTTCTTCTTTTATTACTATTAATTGATTTACGATCGTCAAAACATTTGACATTTAACTTCATATAACAATAATTGTTTTAGAAAATAAATTAATTATTGTAAAAATAAGTACATTTTTGAATAACTAGGATCAATTCAATTATATACGTTAGTTTTGGATAAGGAAAAAAGTAGGTCACAACAACAAAATGAAATTGATAATTACAATTAAATGGTAAGTACAATGATAATGTTGAATAATTTGTTGAATAAAGGTTTACTAGATAACATGAAAAAAAGTAGAGTTTGGAATGCTTTTCAATATTATTATATTTTTTTAAGAAATAAAGTACTGTACAAAAGAAACTTTAGCGGAGGACATTAGAAACTAACAACTATGAATTATAAATAAAGAACGCCGTACCGAATAGAACTGTCTGAAGTTTTCCTTCGAGGAAATCAAATCATCAGTCGTTATAATCTTTATATCATCATCATTTGCGTGCAAATGACTTTTGAACAAGCTTATAAACAAAAATAAGGGACGCAAGGACACATTCAAGATTGAATCGAATAGTCGCTCTATCGTTTTCGTTCAAAAAATTGTCATGCCCTTAATAAAAAATCAAACACTCAGTCGCACGCTTTAATTGTATTCGTAAATCAAAGTATCTTCTTCGCAATTGAAAACGAAATTCAAATATTACTGATAAGAATTTTCTCAATATATTATGATACACAAAACTTTGCTCGCGGAACTTGCATTTGTTCATTTATTAATATTATTAATGTTATTAATAGTAATATTGTTTATTATCATTAATAATAATAATTGTCGTTAATAATGTGGACTCGTCATTGCGCGAGACTATTTCGAGGAAAAATAGATACTAACGTTTAAAATTTGTCACACTAGATACGCATCGTATGTGTCTTCGTTATTGTGTATCACGACAATTTCATCTACTCTTAGCTAAATGAGACAATAATTAAATGGATATTGTTTTCGTTTTTTTCCCTCGAAGTTCTTAAAAATTTGTTACTGTGTAGCGCTTTTCTTGTCGTATACACTATTTTTTTTAGTTTGTAGTTGGATACTTCAATTACTTATGTTCAGTTTTGTCTTTATCTTTACAGTATTTTTCTCTACAATATTGTTAAAAAATGTGAATCACATACGTATATAACAAACCACAAGAATTGTAAAACTTTGACAACGCAAGTAACAAAGTCCGAAATATGCACGTCACATACACCTAGTATTCATTCGGTTTCTCGTGTTTTTTTTTTCGCAAATGGACGTTTTTCCATTGGCATCACATGTCATGTTAAATTTCCTAAAGGTTTATATATGTTTAATACTCATGTTCAATATACAATGCATTCAATTTACAAACATGGACCAAAGTGAAACATGATCGATCAAAAAATGGAAATAGAACGTTGGATGGATGCCAACGGAAATTTTTATACAAAACTTTACGCATAAAGTTCATGAAAGACATCGATATCTAAGAATCTAAATTTACTAATATTCGATTCATCTGACTGGCGCAAACCTAAAGTTTGTAGATATCTTCGTCAATCGCTCGGCTCTCTCTTATAAGAAAAGAACATTTTGTTTTCACTTACTGATCTTACAATTTTGAAACGAGCATTTCCTAATTACGTAGCTACTTGTTAACACGCATATATTGAGATGAGTCAAATGATTATTAATACTCTTATTTTCAGAGCGCCAACTTATAATATTTCTTCAATGACATTTTTACATAAATTTTACACAGTTTGAAATAATCCATATAATTTTTCATCTCTTTTGAAATATTTACTTGAAATTAACAATCAAATGATCTATATATGTATATCTAGCGATTCGACAATGTACACTACTTGATTTTTCCAATATACGATTACAATCTACCTAATTAGAGATTGAATTTATGTATGACATGAAAAAAATTTACACCTACATAATTTTGTTTCAATTTTTTTTATTTATTTTCTAGTATTATTATTATTTTTATTACAAATGGTTTTTTACATCAAATAAGTTTTCTAAAAAAGTCACATTTATAAACTTATATCTTAAACTTTATAACTTTCATTTTCAATGTTTTTGCATGATACTGATGCATTGAAATATGCTTATCACGAAGAAATAATCGCAAGCGACGTTTAATTTTTTTATTTTCTTTACATATTTTCACGATTAACAAATTTGAAGATATGTCTAAAAAGCAAAGACTTATACGTAAAGTATATGTAAAGTATTTCACATACGATCGAAACTTTTAATTAGTTTTTAAGTGAACTCTATTTATTTGAGTCATAAAACAGAATTACATATTTAATAAAAATCACTTTCGGACGTTCTTAGTGATGCTAAGTATTTCAATTCAAGTCACAAAAACATTGAAATTATTTATAATTTTTGAAATTTGAATTTTCATTTTAAATGTTCAAATTTACATTCAACAAGTCACAAGAAATAATGCCGTGATAGAAAATGAAAGTACTCAACAAATATCAATGATATGTGTATATATATAAATTGAGAACATTTTATTATTTTTATGAAATATATTATTACGCATAATGCTTACAATATCGATTGTAAATTTCCGTAAATTTAAAACTAATATCAAGAATGAATGTCTTTATTTGAAGAATTAAATAAATTTTATATTTCATGTAACTATTGAATCATTATTTTAAGAATTGCCCAGAATAAATTTTTATACATGAGTTTCTCGCAAACCACGAGATTCCGGACGGCCTGTACATATATCTTGAAATCTTAATAGTTAAACTTAGTACATATATTGTGTGATATTCAAAGACGTTGCTGGATTTATATTTAACTAGACTATTCGTCGCAACTTATGAACGAACTTATATTCTAAAGCTATGTATAATATGTACAGTTGTTCAGTCCAGCCATTATTACAGTTGTCCTCGTTCAGTTTTTTTGAGACGCACACATTTTTCATTTTTTCGTTTCAAAAATAAAAAAAATGTGTAAAAGTTATCTATCGACGTTCTTAAATTCCTTGTTGAACTTTTATTTTACGACCCAAAAAAAGCATTTACCAAGTTTTATCTTACGATTAACTACGACTAATGCACGTATTAGAGTCGGCTATAACTTTAGTAACTATCATTGTCGTAGATGAAAATTGGCTAACTTATAGAGCGAGGTTTACGGGATCTTGTGCGAGTTTTATAATGATAAAAATTATTATCTCACGTAAGTGTACGCCTTTTTTTATCTTTTAATACTCGACGTTCCCGTAATTATCTCGCATTTTACAAATACACAATATTATCACATTGCGCACATAGAACGAGTTGGAAGGAAAATGCGCTTGAAGTACGATTAGCCATTAATTGCGTATCGAAATTATCCTCGCATCCTTGAACAAGAGGTTTCAGCGTAAAAAATTTACTGTATATCAAACTTGTTTTTTTTCTAAAGTTTAATCAAACAAATAAAAAAGGTTCCTATGTAATATTTTTATAACTTAACATGCCTATAGATTGGCTTTTTAAATGACGATTTAAGATAATTATACAGTTTGTACCAATAACATTGAAAAAAATTTCTTTCAAAGATAAATTTCTTGTCTGCATTGTAGCATTATTAAAAATCTAAAAATAAAAAAAAAATGATTTGCAATTGCTTGTCTTTCAAATAACATTTTTAACGCTTTTTTAAAACGTTATAATAATAATTTCAATTTTATTATTTATTACGTACTTTTTGACGAATAAAAGTACTAAATATCAAATATTAAATCTTCATTTATCTATAATAGATATTTTGAATTTCTGATTTTTACAAGAACAATGCACCAAGCAATCGTGAACTAAACTAAAATAAACGCTAACAGAATCTAATCAGAAGAAAAATTTTTTGTTAAAAAAAAACTTAACTTACAAAAGAAGGAAGAACAATCATTGTCTCTCCGAATACTTTCAAAATAAAACATTCAGTCACGTGAAACAACGGAGTTAAGGAGCATACTGCAGCCTCAAGGTACACTTGCCTTCGGGTATTCACAACAAAAGTGTAAATAATTAAACAAAAAGTCGCTAATCGTAAACAGCTAACGCATTGAAATCGCAGCTTTGCTGTTCGTCTACTTGGAGGTTGGCGCAGCAGGTTGATGCTGTTGGCCAGCAGCCATGGCAAGCCTCGTCTGCTGAGCCGTGGCAGCTGCTGGATGCAGAGCTAGCAACTCCTTGTAGTAGGCGCTGAACTCTGGAGGCAGGAAAGGTGGAGCTGGTGCCCCTGGTGGCGCCATTGGCCCTGGGAACAGGCCGTTATAGAACGCCGGATAGTATATGGGGTCAAGGATCGGCAAAAATTTGCCTGCCGCGGCCGCGGCTGCTGCTGCTGACGGTGAGTTACCCGCAGCAGCTAACTGATGTGCCAGAAAAGCTGGACTGTTGGGCGGGATCGACGGCATATAATTAGCTGGTAAACTCGGAACACTGTGTCTTCTTAACGATTCCGATTCCCTAAAACATTTAATATTATGTGTAACAGTGACCAAAAAGAAAGCGGCAAATTACAGAAATATATGTAAAGTAATCTTACCTCGATTGCTTCGACGATGATCCAGACTCCAACCTATCAAGATGCTGCTGCATCGACATTCTGTCACTCTCACTTATCCTGCGCATCTCCTTATGCTGACTACCTGTTGCCTCAGTCGTCTTTCGTTTTTCCATCGCCGAGTACTGATAATTAGGCATTGGTGCCTTTGCAAAACTCGAAACAGGACTCGAGTTCAAATGGCTAAGATTTGGTACGTTCGGTATCACTGGATGGTGATTACTGACAACACTCGGCACACCACTCGAAACTGTTGGTTTTCTCGGCGTATAAGGAGAAATGGGCTCTGGTGGCATTCTTGACGGAAATTTACCGTTGAGGTGATGCTGAGGCGATGGAGGAGGTGGCCTCCTTTGTACAGGTACTGCTGGTGGCGGTTGCTATTTAAAAAGATACATTCAAATTAGACAAATTTTGTATTCGATTTGCACATGCCATTTTTATCAATTAACAATCATTGTAGATTACCGTATTATTTCTAGTAGGAGGACTGAGCTGTGGTACACCAACGACGCCACCAGAGGATTTCTTTGGACTAACAAGCGTAATCTCCAAGTTGTTCGTAGCCATCGTGCGATTGTCCAATACATTCGTATACCCGACAGAATTCGGTGGCACACTACCGGTTACGAACTGACTTTTGTTACGCGCCTGAGCTGACATGTCAGGTGGCTTGCTGCTATTCATATCTTTGCTTAGATTTGTCGGAACGTTGATGACACTGCGATGGTGAGCCTCGAAGTTTCGGGTCTCGAGATTCAAGGGAGTTGGACGTGGTACTACGGGTACCCTTACAATTTCGAGGTTCGGTCGTCCGTAGCCTGATCTGTCATTCGTTGGTTTCGCTGTGAGATCAAGAATACCACCTGCAGGAGGCTCACTATTACAAGTACTCGTCCCACATTGTACACCAGGAACAGAAAGCATACTGTAGACGGAAATCAATTATTAGTATATAAAATAGATATAATAATAGATTCTTGGCAGTTGCAATTCAGTAACTTACCTAGGACTTCTCGGTGTATGTGGCTGTGGAGGCATAGGAGGCATGTATTTGGGTGCTGCAAGAATGTCCTTTGGATTGCCATAGACAGTTTTTTCGCAACTACTGTTACCAAAGATTGACCTGGACTGAGTGACTTTTGGAATCAGAGGTCTGCCATTCGGCAGTGATGGTTGCACAAATCGATGATTAACTTGGCCAAGCGTTGTGTTCAGTGACTGTGGTATTGGAACGTTTGCATTTGCGTAAAGTTGTAGTAGTGAAGCATTAGAATTGCCAAGGTTAATAACACGACTGTTTGCCGTTGGGGTCTGATTTGGTGGCGCGCCATTGCTGTTTTGACTGGTTGGAGTTAACCGTTGCTGTTTTGTTGGAGTTCTATTCTCTTCAGAGCGTGGCAGCATGTGACCAATGTCCGGCATGACAGTTACATTTATTAACTTCGGTATAACTGCCGGCGATGGCAAACTGTAGGGACTCGTAGGTGCTTTAAGGTCGAGTTTTATTGGCGATGCTGTGCCAGCTATCGGAGGAACCGCATTCAATGGCGGTGACGTCGATGCCGGTACTGCGGAATTGACCAAAGCGGGAACCGCCGTGTTCACTGTCGTCGTTGGCTGAATAACGCTTGGTCGAGCATCTGTATAAAAAAATCATAAGTAGATAAAAAAACTTTGAAATATTCAGTTGTAATAATCCATGCATGCGTACTAAGTTAATCTAAGATCAACTATATAAAAATGTTAATGAAATTTCTAGAATGATAATAACAATAAAAATTTACATAAGTGTACCTAATTCTACAGGAGTAACTTCTAAGCCACCCTCACGCAATATCTCAAGTTTTCGCTTTTTGAAGCTAGGAATAGGAATGATAAGCTTGTTGTCCCTGGTGCCAGGCTCGTTGTCGGTCTCGAGGTCAATCACTTCGGGCGAACGTGGCTTATCTACGAATATAGGACTCTTCTCTTCGAACAGAGGAATGTTCTCCTTGCCTTGAGCGAGTAAATTTGTTTGTTTAGGGTCAAGTTTGATCTCTTTCATATCCTTCTCTGGGGGTGGTGTTAGCGTTACCACCGCCGTGGCATTCGCTGCGCTTACGGGCAGTCCTAGTGGCGAACACGATGGCGGTACCTGTAAAAATATCACAAAATAAGTACACTGTTCAATGCTGTTTTTTTTTGCGAAAGTATTCAGAACAAACAGTATACCTGTTGAGACAAGACAGGATTGTTCAGCTGTCTCTCGAGCACACTGCCATTCGTTGGCGTGGTCGAGGTTGGCGGTGTATTCGTTGGCGATGATGCCGTGGACGACGAGGTGGTAATAGACGTCGAGAGCAGGGAGGTTGGCGAATTAGGCAGTTGTTGCTGGCTGACAGAGGTTGAGTTGCTGGTCGCTATTATCGTATTGAGTGACTTTAAACGCTCAGGCTTCACCCGCACGCTACGCAACGACGACGTCTTGCCGCTCTCGCTTCGAGGTTTGTCTCCGGGTAGGAATGGCTGTAGTGGAAAATACTTTCGTTAATTAAAGCAATTCCCTGTTTAAATAAAATAAAAAAAAAAAGATGAATGAAACTAATCTCTTACCGAAGTTGACGTTATAGACTGCATAGGGGGAGGTGTAATCGTTGCCGAAGTAGGTATGTCAATCGAAAGTGGCGGTGTTTGAGAAGGTGGTGGACTTTCATTTTCCCGTTTGACTTCGACCGAGTCTTCCGAAGCGTCCGATATACTCGGCGTCTTGATCCGCCTGCCAGCAAGGCTTGCTTTTATTTTAATATCTTCTCCCTTCTCAAATCTTTCGTATGGTAATAACAGCCTGAGAAAAGAAAAAAAGTATTTTTTTTGTGAGTCATGTTTGCGAGAATTGCATTCCACATTGACACATTATAATACCTTTCGTAGTGCCTTCTTGTTATCGTCGCAGCACTCGTCGAACCGGTGTTACCACCCATCTCGTCGTAGATTACCTTCCACAAACGATTTTCACTGACTCTATCATAACCGCCTAGATCCTGTACTTTACTGTAGAACAAGTATAGATCGACTGGAAACAAAAATACGTTATTGTAGATATTATCATAATTATTCTCTGTTTCACGATGCATGTATATTCAAAAAACTTTGTTTCCTTTTAAGAGAAAGACAATTATATACAAATATTTATAATTGTTATTTTAATAAATAAACATGAGATTCGGATTATAATAATGTATAAGAATTTTCTTCCGAAAATGACAAACTAAAGTTTTCTTTTATTTTCAATCGCCGACGATTGTAGTGTGTGCGGAGACTGTAGTTGTTTCTGAAGTAGGAGCGACGTATGTAAGACTCACTTTGTCTGTAACCAAGAAGAGGCATCTTGCCGAGCGGCGTGTTGCGCGAAGACATGAATGTGTGCACGTCACCAAGAAACTTTTTCTCCTCGGCGCTTGGTTTGCGATCAACGCGTTTGGCAGCCGCAGCAGCGATAACAGCGGCACTCGGTCGTCCAGGTGTACCTGTCGAATTACACAAACTCGACTGTCCGGACGACGACGACGAGCCTTTGGAAGTTGATGCTGCCGCTGACGAGGCCACCGATGCTTCGCTCTCGTTGCTCGATTCGCCCGGTGATACACTGCGCTTTTTGCGCTTTCTCCGAGGTCGCCCTTTCAGTTTTGGTGCTGCAAATACACAAATTATCACAATTGATGTATTCATTGAAAAACAATGTTTATTCAGGTCTAGAGTGATATTGAGTGAAGGACGTGAAAAATTGACGCGGAAACACGAGGTCATTCATTTACGTTAAAAAAAAGTTTTTTTTAGGAGAATAGCGAGAATTAGTTTCAATGAAAGTTAATTGCCACCATGACCTTTTTAACGGGAAAACAGAGCGACGTATACTGTTTAGGCTTTAGATTTGTACTAAGTTTTCTATTTTTCTTTTTCACATTAGTCACTAAAAATTGAGTACAATTTTAATTGAAGGTAGCCAAATTATTAAAAGCGTAAATTGATTAAGTATTTGAATTATCAATAAGTTACAGATGCTAGAAATCAATCGACATTAGCTCGTACGAATTAATTTTGAATTATATGCACTGTGTAATTTAATTAATCCAACTTCGTAAACATTTCCATGTTTACGAGTTAGATTTGGCAATTTCAATGGAAAATTAGGTCGCCGTAAATACACATTGAATTCCGAATGATATCTGCGCTATTTTGTTGTTACGCTTTTCGATATAATTTACTTTTAGTGTGCCAGTGTAATACATACAAAGAGAATAAAAATAGATTTGTCACAGAAATAAAATTTAACGCCCACGATCAAGTTCGATGAAATGATACTTATGTCATAAAAACGACAAAAAGACAAAACATTCTAGGAAATATACGCTTGATGCCAAGATTTTTATAACAAAAACAAACTCGATACGCTCTTTTCTGATAACCTTTTCTTCTTCTACGAAGAAAAACACCTCACAGCGGAAAGATGAAACGATGTACTTCTATAGTAATCGATCCAAACGCATAGTTGTCAAGTTACATGGATTCACGTGTTCCAACTACAAATATTGAACAAATTAATTTCACAATAATTTTAAAACAAGTTTTTCGAGACTGTTGAGTTTCAAAATCATTAAGGAAGTTTCTTTTAATTGAAAGTCTTCGGTCAGCTTAAGAAGAAATTTGCTTAGATTGCAGAAAATGATGCACTCTAAATTTACACATTTTTATGCTTATTTGCAGAACCGTCGATAAGGAGTGTATTACTTAAATTTATAAAAGTTTTGGCATTGTTGACATTATTGTAAAAAAGATTTAAACAACAGTTTATTGAATTGTGAATACGGAACATACGTTTCTTTGAAAAATTCAGAAAAGCTAGCTATTTTAGCTATTTCAGAATTGTTATTTAGTCTATAAAAATGACACAAAACTATTCCACTACGAAATCATCAACCTGATTTTTTCACTTAAAAATAACGCGACGAGAAAAGTAAAAAAGTCCAAACAAAACATCAGAGACACTGGAAACGCTCTGTCAACTCTGTAGAAAAAAAAAACAAACAAAGAGAGCGAGCGTGTGAGAGCGCCCCGAGGAAAAAAGAACGAGAAAAATGTTTCTCACTTTTATGCCCGTCGATAGTCAACTTGACAATCTGTTTGTTGCTAATCCTCATGATGATGGCCATTTCGTCCCGCGATAAAATACTTCATGAAAAGAAACAAAACCAACACTCGAGCGACACAGACAAGTAACAGAGAGAAGCGGTAAAAAATCAGACTACGCTCGCAAGCGGCACGTTGTTCGTAAACTCGGCAAGCGAGAGCCGGGTGGAGCACGTGTGCCCTGCTCTATCCTTTTGGCCGCTCTTGCTCGAACGCATGCGTCGTGACACCGACCTGAGCCGGCTTCGCGTTCACGTGACGCGTAGCGGGAAAGCGGCGCCGATTTGAAACGTCGTTGATGGTGATTTGTGCGAGGTCGCCAACGCGCGTACACGCAATTTTTTTTTCTTCTACTTTCACGCTCGCGTTATTTACGTTTGCGCATGGAACGGCCTGATTTACGTTTGACTGCCTTTTAAAGCGTTCGGCGACAATGTCACGTTTACGAATCAAATATACGGAAACAATTTTCCTTTTCGGGCAGTATTTTCTGTGACTTATCTTAATTTATCTTATATATCAGTACATTATCATTACAAGCGGTTTCTGCAATTATGGAACGACGTTCCGTTTGTTTTCTCGCTTGTTTATAATTCACGCTCATTACATACAAGGAAAAATCGATTTTTTCTTCAATATATTTTATTACTCGTTTTAAAAATATCAATTGCACACTTTGGATGTTAGGTGTAAAATAATCTCTGACCAGAAATGCAATCTTGCGCGGAAATCTTTGAGTGTATCAATTGAGTGCACGCGAGCATACTGATTTTGTTCTTATCTCTTAAATGTTGTGGAGTTCACTGATTTGATTTTACTTTTAAAATGCCTGCACTCAAAATCTTGGTCAAGGCGTCGTGTTAAAATAATCTATAGCGAAGCCGAACAGTTATTATTCTAGAAGCAGTTGGAAAAATAATGGCGAATAACAGCTAGCAATGAATCAGAGATGTCCTTGATTGAAAATACTTGGAGAAAAATGAAGAGGCGAGTACGGTCGCAGTCGTAATAAAAAAAAAAAAAAAGAAGAAAGAGTATTTGAGGGAAGATGACTTACCTAAGTGATTGCACAGTAATTCATGCGTTTCCAGGTCCGGATAGTCGAAGGTGTCCCTACAGAAGAGCACCCTCGTGCCGGGCAGAGCGGCGAAGCCACCAAGTGCCGCGACAGCGGAGGAAGCCAACCATTTTGGTTCCGAACCCTCGAGTCGACGCATAAGCGCTCGATAACGGCAGTACCTTGGATACGAAAGTACGACGACTTTGGTGCCTTCGCTGCTGTTGTTGTTGATCTGATACTCGTTTCGCCGCGTCGACAGAGCTTCCAGATCCTTTTGAAGCCGCTCCACGTCCGTGAAGTCGAGACCCGGATCTGACAAGGTCTGCGGATGTGGCGACGAGTCTGGTGACGATGACGGCGTCGGCGGCAGTTGTACTTCGCGGCCCCATGACCACTGTAGCGAAGGCGACAACCACGTAACTAGGTCGTGCACTCGCACCACTACCTTCTCCGAGATTGTCAGCACTTCGTCCTGCACACAACACAAAGCGTTTTCTCAATTTCTGCTTATTAGCGACATTACTGTTTCAATTGAAAAGCTGTACGTAGATGCGCGATAAACGACCGATATATATTTCGCCATATGCGTAGGCGTTTACTTGTGTGCTACATCAAATCCAATCAACTTACAATCGGGATAATCTTACAGACCCCAATGATTCTCGTAAACTGACGTAACGTAATGCAATCATTCTTATATCCTACTACTCGACCGATAAAATATTTTGTAGCCGGTATACATAACTCCACGGCTATTGCGCTAACACTGCGTATGTGCTAATGTTCAAACATTTATTTTGTAATACAATATTCGTTTCTTTTATTGCACGATACATCCACGTGCATTTGTGGACTGACCAAAAATCAGAAAGCCTCGATATAAATAATTCAACCTCGTCGCGTTTGTCGAGAAGGATAATTTTAACCAACTCGCCGGTAATTTACACCCAATATTTCAATCTAAAAAGCAGTTTACGGCCACGGATGAGTTAGCCTTAATCAACACAGTTTTAGCACGAGAAAATAAGCTATGTTGAAATGTCGTAAAGAGTAGTTTAGCATTTGCTGCGCGCGACGTAAAAGCTAAAAGGTCTAAGAATAAAAGGCAACAAATGGAAACGAATTACATATTAAACGCGAAGTGGGTAATGCGCCGCGGGGAATTTTAACGCCGGTTTATCGCACATCGCGGCGCGCATATTGCGATTACGTCAAAGTCCGCTAGAGGCTGTCCTCGCCGATATACTGCTGCAATCGTGGAAACGTAAGAACGAACACTCGTTATTTAAGCCGCTCTGCGAATTCAGCCTGTCGTTACGACGTTTTCGCGTCAAGCGGACTTCATCTTTTACAAGCGGTTCACAGCCAACGCGAACGCATCGCGTTACGGGACATATCACTTTTCGGGGATACCTTCACGTCGACATTTCAAGAAGACAACGTTAAAAGCACTGCTTGATAAACGAAAAGCGCAGCGAGAAAAATAGCCCGATGGAAAAAAATATTCATTTACTTGCGAGTTCGCTCGACGATAGATCGTAAAATAGACATTAAGTGTACGTCTGCGTGTATACGCAAGATAGTTTATGTACGCGTACGTATAGCATTATGCCACACACTTTTTAGCTGGGATTTTATGACTTTGTATCTATACGCACACACGTCCGTTCACGATATTTTTTATAACTGCAAAAAAAAAAAACAATAACATGCTGTTTTAAGGCGTATACAAAGGCATATTTTTTTTTCTCCGTATCTTTCTCATTTTCATAAATTTGTAAAAGCGTATAGTTTTCCCTTTTATTCGGAATTTAATATGCGCCGGTTTTCGTTATGAATATTTACTTTGTTAGCTTACTAAAAATAATTCTTTTCATTTATTCAGCACATCTAATGAATTTTCCAGCTATGAGGAACGAAGAAAAAAAAAGAGAAGAGCGGACGAAAAAGTAAAATCAGTTGAGGAAAGGAATGCGAGCTTGTAACTGGAAAGTTCGAACATAAAGAAGGAAGAGAAAAATATCAAGACTGAGTTAAATGGAAAAGTGTATGTGTGTGTATAGGATGTGACCGCTGCCATGGAATGTATCGTTCGGTTGCTATGGAGATAGCTGCTAGTAGTGGTCTAAACACATCGATAACCTATCAATTTACCGGCCCCACGTACACACAATCACGCGCACGTGCCAAGCTCGCAGGGGACCAAGTTTATATCCGATCGCTTGAACGGAAGCTAGCTCTTCATCATATTAATAAGTACGGACAGGCTAACATTTTCTCCCAAGTAAATTTAACAAAATAACTTGCTACTAACGTCCAACTGACTTTGAAAAGTTGAAATTAATGATCAAGAGCGTCGGGCGGTCGTTTAGTATGGGGAGTTCGTAAAAACACAAATTGAAATATGTTACTTTTACTATTTACCTTCATCGCTTGGCTGCGACTGACGGCTATGTACAAAGTTATGTTATTTTGAAATGGAATATATACTACCTGAGTAAACGTACTGTATGTCAATATTATCGATAACGTAAATGCTGCCTATACGACGGCTATGTCATATAATACGTAGCAAAGAATTCATTAGCTATAAATGATTTTTCTTTTTCGCAATTTCGATTCGACGGCTAGAGAGCCGCGTACGCAAAATCATTCGTTAAAAAACAAAAGTAAAAAACCAGCAATTTTTGTTTTGAAATAGCAGGAAACGTTCTTTCGACAATTACATTTTCCCTGTTTCGTCGCTTTTCTGGTTGTTGTTGAAAGAAATGAAAAATATCCGCGCGGGTGGGGAGGAGTAGAGGCGACTGACGTGAGCCCCAACCGTTGCCCGCCCACTGGAAAAAAAAAGAGGAAACGAAGAGAGGTGCTGGTTTTAACGATTGTTGTGCCCACATATACTATGCAGCATTCGCGTTTCAATGTTTTCATATCATGTATTCATACCTCGCTCGCCGCGCAAACGCAGCTTTCTTTGTTTTTCGCGTGGTAACGACGACTCCGTTGTAATAAATTGTTATCAGTTGCAACGAACAGCAGCGAGCGTTTCGATTAGTCGAAATGAGTTGTAGGTCGTTCGCGCGGCGAATCGTTCCGGCGCACGAGACAAAACCTGCGAAATAAAGCCAAGTGAATTGGAAGCGTTTTGCACGGGTTCAATTAGGTCAAGCAGCCGAGAGCGACTTTGAAGGTGGGCAGAGGGCATCGGGCATCATTAAACAGGGCCGCTTATTTACCTAAAACAATTAGGCGCCCACCGCGCACTAATAGAGAGAGAGTTCGTTGAGCGCGAGTAATGAAATCCGAAAGCGCGGTAATAAGCAACGTTTGATCAACTGCGCGCGTGTACGCGGCCGCGGCTCCAGTGGAAATTCAGCCGGGGGAAAATCGATATATGTAGCGGCGTGCGCCCGAGCGCGCTCGCCGCCTGGCAGCGGCTAATGAAAAGGCATTAATTCCGAATCTCAGCCATGCGAATTTCAACAAAACATATACCGCGGCCGGCTATCGCGCGCGCCGCTTTGATTTGCAACGGACGCTCCCGAAATCGAGCGCGCGCAAACGCTCATTCGCGTAATGAGCTTCCGATGAACATCCCGCAGTCGTGGCGGGCGTAAAATAAATTCGGCGGGAGAGAACAGAGGGAGACGGGGCGAAAAGTTGAAGTTGGAGTGCGAGAACGGGGAGGAGGGGCCGTACGAGAATCAGTAGTGGCGACATACGCGCGCTGCAGTTGACATATTCGCCAAGTGTGCATAATACATTCATGCGAAGTGTACAGTCGCAAGAGCAGGGAGGGGGGCATACACGGCCTGTCGAGCCAAGAGGAAGGGGGAGTTGTACCAGAGGCGCTCAACCTATAAAATTCTGCATAGTTTGCTGTCATTGTTAGAGCGAGTGCAAACAGCTCTACTTCTATTCCGCCATTAGCCTTCAGCCGCAGCGACAGTTATTGCATTCTATCTCTCGTTATTCGTGCTTGGGTTTTTTCGGGCCGCGCTTCGCTCGATCCCTTTGTCGCCGTCGATCCGATTCTTCTGCTCGCTCTTTAATGAGCGCCTCGTACACCTCGCGACGTTGTCCTCGCTATTGAACGCTCGTACTTGGCACGGAGCACGCCGTGGACGAAAGAAAACAAGGGTGCCGCGTTCAAGTGCTCAAAAATAAAATCAGCCGAGCTTGGCGTCGTGTAAATACATATTCGAGGAAACTTGGCGTCGCGCGAGTCTGAGCGTACGAAACCGATAAAATCGAAGACTTGTCTTCGTAAAATTTACGAGCATGACTGCGAATGTGACAGGCGGCACGCAGCGCAAAGAGAAGAAAGAGCGGAGTCGGCCGGGGAGAAAAAAGTGCAATAAAAAAATAGGCTCGAATATTTTGAGAGCAGTCGGGCAATGAGAACCTCTGAAAGGTATAAATCATCGTTAGATTAAAGCTCCCGTTGGAGGTATAGCAGTGGCGCTTCGAGTTGCAGAGCGCGGGAAATATAGGCTGAACAGAGCAAAAGCATCCTGCCCGCATAGCAATGTATATCATCGACGAGACAGCGCCCTGCAGCCACAACGAGAACGTCCAAGAGCATTTTCGATGAAAAATTAACGACACGAGAGATCCTTCAACGATGAAACGGAAAACATTCTATTTTGAAGCTGCAAAGCTCACGCTGAAAGCCTCTCGCGCTAGAGTCCTGCAAGCGATATGCCATTTTATTTGCTTTTTTTTTTGAGCGATCAAGTCAAACATTCTGCTAGCTATCGGCGGATACACCTTGGTGGAAATTTCGATAAATAACTTATCGGCGCTCGAAAAAAGCTTATTCGAAATAGTCCGCAGCGCTTAATTAGTTTACACGTAGTTTTGCGCTGATAAAGTTGATTCCCTCTGCTCGGCTCGTCGAGAGAGAGAGAGAGAGAGAGAGACGGAGGGAGAGAGAGAGAGAGAGCAAAACGAGAGGTTCAAAAGCTATTATAAAGCAAAGGCTAGTATTTCAAACAATCTTTCTGCTCGGCTGAACTTCTCTCTCTCTCTCACTCGAATACTTCGCCAACTATCATACATTTACCAAGTTTACCGACGGCGAGCTGTTGGTTATCAGAAATTGATCTCTGGAAAACTATTTGGAAATTGCTATACATTTTCTCTGCCTGAAAGCAGAGTTTTCTCATCGATGAATTTTCGGGGAGAGAAGAAAAAAAGGAAGTTGGTCGTTGCTGCGGCTAATGGTCTACAATTACGCGCCTTTAAGGCCCGTTTAACGGTCGAAATTCATGGATGAGCTATTAGCGCAAAATTCTAAATGGTCTCTGCCCTTCAAAGCGCGGTTGCAGTTCCTTTTATATATTTGGAGAGCTTAACGAGTCTCCTTGCTCGCCTTTGGACCTCCTGCGGAGCGAGGCTCTCTATATCGCGTTGCACGCCTGATCGCACATCCCATTACGCATATATCGAGAGCACAGAGTCTCTCTCTCTCTATCTCACCCTCTGGATATCATGGTTGCATATCACTCGTGCGAGCGAGTTCATGCCTATGTATATATGCGCGCGCACTTGTGTATGCGATTACTATGGCTGCGGTTATTGTGCTTTGCATTATTACCCTTCAAGTTCGGTGCTTACAATTAGATTGTTCTATGTTGTTACTCCATTATAAGCTCGTTGTGGATCGTCAGGAGAGAGCAGACTCGTCGAC